TTAAAAGAGTTATTGTTTAAAAAACTACCAAATTTAGATATTGTGACAAAGGAAGACACAAAATTATAAATTGTTACTTTTGGATACTAATGCCCACAAACGTAGTTACGATTCATCCAAACCGATTAACAGTAACAAAGGATTTAAATATATGTATGTGATCAAATCATTGTTTAAGCACTCGTGAAATCATAAAAGGAGTGTAGAAAGTCTTCCAAAGGGAGAAGGAGTTGATATTTTAAAAGAAGTTAAAAAAGATACTGATTTGGTTTACTGGAACGATCCAAACGAGTTAGTGGAACGATTAAAATTACTACTTGGATCATGGGCAGCTGGTAACACAGGGGTTTACAATGAAATTTATGCAATAATCGAAGAATTGCATGAATCTGGCATCATAAAAGACATTAAATAAAAAAAAATATTAAGCTGCCTACAGGAGGATTACGCAGTACCATTTCATTACAGAAGCCGATAAGACGGCTATGAATATAGACAAATTTGGTCATCATGTTCATAAGCGTTTACGACCATCTCAATGCTCTGATATTCTCAGCCACGCTTTAGTAAGAACAGATGCAGGTGATTTTGATTTGAAATCAACAAGATTAAAAGGACTGCAAACTCCTGAAAAAGAAGATGAGGCTGTGAATAAAGAATATGTGGATAAATGTGTTCAAGAACTTAAAAATGAAATGAAAACAATTCACAATAATGTCAAAAAGTACCTTAGCAGTTTAGAAAAATTGACTACTAGCAATTTCAGGACATTGTATTACACTAAAAAGGAAATCGACCTCATGATTGCATCAAAACCTACCCAAAATGAGTAAACAAGATATAGTCAATGAGCTTCACAAAGCAGCAAGACGAAATTTTTCTCGTCAAAGGAATAGATGATTTATGGCAAGCTGACCTGATTGATTTTTAAAAATATTCAACGTTTAATAAATGATATAAATATGTTCTAGTAGTAATCGATGCTCTATCAAAATACGTATGGGTTAGACCATTAAAATCGAAACATAAAAATTGTGTCAAAAATGCGATGCAAAGTTTATTATCTGAATCAAGACGAAAACCTAAAAATTTACAAACGGACCTTGGTACAGAGTTTTATATCATTCTTTTAAGAATTTAATGAAAAATTATAATATAAATCATTATTCCACGTACTCCGTTAAAAAGGCCTCCATTGTAGAACGAGTAATAAGAACTTTAAAAAATCGGCTTTACAAAATATTCAGTCTATGCGGACAATATCAATGGTTCAAAAATAATTTAGATTTTGTTGTAAAGCGGTATAATAATACTTTACATCGCATTACAAAATTCAAGCCTATCAACGTTAATGATTCAAATGCGATTTTAGTTATGTCAAACATCAAGAAGTCTCAAAAACCTAAGATACGTCAAGGACCAACGTTTCACGTTGGCGATTACGTTCGTATAAGCAAATACAAAGGAGATTTTTATAAAGGTTATACCCCTAATTGGTCTACAGAAATACTTAGTATCGTAAAAGTCAACCAAACTAATCCAATCAAAAAATTCTAGGCTCTTTTTACGGTTACGAACTACAAAAATCTAAATTTCCAGACAGATCTTATTGAAAAAGTCATTAAAAGAAAAGGAAATAAGCTTTTAGTTGTAGTAAATGGTTAGGTTTGAGTGATGACGAAAATAGTTGGGTGGATAAAAGTGAATTAGTGGTGTAGGTATATACGTTATTTATGAATAACGTATTATTACTTAATAATCTCATTTTATAATTATCGATGAAGGAAGGCAGTGGTATAATTAATAAAGTAATAGACAATTTACCGTTTGAGTTACATTTACCTGGCTATCAATTTTGCGGTCCCGGAACGAAACTTCAAAAACGGTTACTCATAGGCGATCGCGGGATGAACAAATTGGATGAAGTGTGCATGCTCCATGATATTGCTTACAATAATAAAGATTCGGACGCTCGACAAAAAGCGGATTTAGAACTTTTGAAAATGGCTAAGAGGAGGTTGAAATCAGAAGATGCTAGGAAAGGAGAAAAAATTGCCTCATTAGTAGTCAAAACTGCGATGAAAGCGAAAATCCGGGCGGGGAGCGGTATAAAAGCATTTAAGAAGGGGATAAAAAAATACAGTCTCAGTTGAAAAAACTAAAATCCAAAGACAGTCACTCGGCTATAAAATATGCCTATGCAGCTGCTAAGAAAATATTTAGTAATAAAAAAAGGAATAAGTTTACCTCGTTGTATTCCTCTTCCAAAGTGTGAAGGACTTTTACCCCTTATTCCAATATTTGCGGGATTGTGAGCTTTAGGATCATTAGCTGGTGGAGCAGCAGGTATAGCAAAAGCTGTTAATGATTCAAAAGCAGCACAAAAGAGTCGTCAGGAATCTGAAAGACACAACAGAATGATGGAAGCCGTTGCTCTAGGAAAAGGATTATACATTAAACCTCATAAACAAGGAGCAGGTTTATATCTTAACCCCTCAAAAAACTAATTAGACGGCTACCCAGACGGGCGCTCACTAACCTCGACATATTAGAACATGCAAGTGACATTCCATACTTTCGCGGCGTTTTCATGAGAAATAAATTACCTTTGAAACCGAGAAAGATAGAATGTGGAATACTGAATTTGGATAGCTACAGAAATCCTGGAACGCATTGGGTAGCCTTTGTAAAGCACAATAAATACGTAGAATATTATGATAATTTTGGTAACTTAAAGCCCCCGCTAGATTTAGTTAAATATATGCATAACTTACCTATTAACTATAATTATGCGCGACATCAAGCGTTTAGTGCTATAAACTGTGGACATGTTTTTCCTAAAATTTTAAGGAATTACTGGAAAAAGCATTTATATAAGTAGTATGTGAAGTAAATAAACGTATCAGTATAAAAATGTCTTTCACTGTGTCTATAACTAGGACAGGAGCCTCTTTATCAACGAACTATTCACCGACAATAGAACTACGAGGAGACTACGAATGTGGCCTTTTGTATTTTTCAACTTTCAATTCTATTCCCAATATAGATGAAAGAAACAATAAATTTTATAATGGTGAAAAAGAAATGACCGAAATTCCTGAAGGGTCTTACGAGCCTCAAGATATTTGTGATTATCTAAAAAATAATATTAAGAACACTGTACTAAAAGTAACTTGTAACAATAATACTTTGAAAATAATTATTTTTTGCTCTGAAGATGTGCACTTTAATAGAAGCGAATCACTGGGTAAAATTTTAGGCTTTGGTATGGAAACAATAAAAGCAAATATAAGTACCGAATCAAAGTATCCTGTCAGTATTCTATCGACAACCATCGTGCGGATTGAATGCGATGTAGTTAGTGGTTCATTTGTCAACGGGAAAGCAAGCCATATAATTTATGAATTTGCACCTAATGTACCACCTGGCTATCGAATAATTGAAATACCTAGAAACTTGATTTATTTTCCTGTTAATCAAAGTTCCATAAGTGCTATCAATATAAAGTTATTGAACGCTGAGAATAAAGAGATAAATTTACGAGATGAAGTAGTACAACTGTATTTATATTTCCAAAAAAAAAAAATATGATTAATTTCAATAAAAGCCCGTCTACTTCGTGTATCCAAGCCAGTTTTAAAAGAACATCTCGTTCTGAAGGCATACCTCTTCAGCTAAAAAAGAAGCTTACCAAATCTAACAAAGAATTTCTTAAGCTAGTTGGCTTGATAAAATGAATATTTTAAACGTATCTCAACAAACATCATACGATAACAGCATTGAAAGTTTTGAGTATCATTCATACAAACCATATGTAACTAGTTTTAACAAGAATGACGAAATACGTATTCCTATTAATCAGCAAGACCTGTACGTACTACCTTCACTCAGTAGTTTATATATCGAGGGAAAAGTGAACGTTTACAACAGCACCACAAAAGAAAATGTACATTTTGTCAATAATCCTATGCTATTTCTTTTTCAAGACATACGATATGAACTTAATGGAGTAGAAATAGATAAAATTAAGAATGCTTGTGTCACTACTACAATAAAATCTTACCTATCCTTAAATGAAAATGAATCCAAATGTGCTCGAGTTTGGGGCTGGTCAACTGGCGGAACAAGCAATAAATATATATTATAATAAATAGATATTAGGATTTGCAGAAGATTATGAAAAAATTATAATTAATTGTAAACATGAGTTAGTATTATTACGAAGCAATACAAATCTCAATGCGACCAAGTTAAATACAGGTGAAGTTGTAGAAGATATTATAATAAATAAAATTGTTTGGCGAGTTCCACACATCAAAGTATCAGATCGTGAAAGAATCAGCCTATTAAAACATTTAGAGAAAGATAGAGCTATTCCATTAGCATTCCGTTCCTGGGACTTATATAAGTATTCATTGCTACCCAAAACATTGGTCTCTAAAAACTTCATCGCAAATAGAGAAACCACGATTTGTGGTCATTGCCTTACAAACCAACCGCAAACATAACGCGAAATTATCAATGGCAGAGTTTGATCATTGTCACGTACGAGATGTAAGAGTCTTTTTAAATTCATCATATTATCCTTATGAGGGGCTGAATGTCAGTTTTTCAGAAGATAAGTTTACTTTAATACGAAAACGTCGTATCGTGGACGCCGGTCGGAGCCGTTGATGGGTTTAAAGGAGTTCAGAGACGTGGCTTCATTATTTGATTTTCAAGACAACACGAATATATTGATTTTCGTGTTGTCTTGAAATTCCACAAAAACTTCGCAAACTCAGCATATTGTGAAGAAAAAATATATATAAACTAAGATTCTGAAAGAAATGATATGCTCAGAAGGGCTAGAACCCAGAGCCGTAAAGCCAGTTAAATAAAAAAACATGCATTTCAAATTTTGTAACGTATATCGTATAGTTGACGTCAACGTCAAATCAAAATTTAAAATTGTAAACACAGATATTGTACAAGTGCTGTGATAATAATCGTACGTAGAAATGGAAGATTTTGATGTGTTTACTAATGAGATTGAATACACAAAGCCATTTTATGCCAATGTTTTAAACAAGTATGTAAAAGATGTACCATCAACTCCCAGTGGACCAAACTACCAGAGTGAGTACCTAAAACCTAATTATCAAATTGCAGTTGGTTTTGATGGTACCATCAATATTTTTAACTGTAAATTATTTAGGTATACATAGGATAATAACTAAAACGTTAAAAATTGGAAAACTTTAATCAAACATCTAGTTAGATGTCTGATTCAAATTTTCCAACTGTTTCACTTATACATTCAGTCAGTTTGTAATTTATTTGATAAGCAATTTTTATCCGGAATTTTGTAAAATCAGCCATAAAAAAGTGCAAACAAATCTAAATAATATTATGTTAGAGTCAGATAATTTATAAACATATCTTACCTAAAAATATTATTGTTGTCATAATATATAATCATCATCATTATTACAGCCCTCTGCTGAACATGCATATTTAAATACATATATAAATATATATTAATATTATTCCAGGTAGCAGAAAACTGTATGCCGAAGAGTGTCTGGGAGAAAATAATGAAGCAGACTGTGCTTTCTATTTAAGTGAATCAGTATCTGCATCTCTAAGAACATTGGCTGTGTACAGAGATGAGCAATTGAGAACAACAGGTTTGGTTAAATATCATTTGTTATTATCCATAATGGAAAGGAGAAAATGTATGTTAGGATATAGTGTTGTTTGTGTGTGCAAATGATGATGAAAATCGATATAGATACAGTTTTCTGTAAAGGGTTTGTGATTAATTGGTGATGCTTTTTAGATAAATGTTATGGTGTTTACTTGCTAGAGGGTGATGCAATAAATATTATTAGCTTCTTTAAAAGAGTTTTAGCATGTTTTTCCATAACCAGGCTTAGCTGATGAGAACCTAAAAATGTTTCAATAAAGTGTAAAATTAAAATCTGTGAGGAGGCCTGTGTTCAGCAGTGACTTTTACAGGCTGTAATTAAGTTACAGCATACATATACTATGTCTTTCTCACAATTTTTCCTTTATTACTAAGTACATGTTGAATTAGCATTTGAAATTGCCATTAATAATTTCATTGTTGCCAGCAGAGGTGGAACTTGCATTGTATGCATGCTTTTTATGGCAAGTGCTTAGCCCCAGAGCTACCCTAGCTCTACCAATAATACATAATCATAAATTACAATTAATTTTTTTCCTTTTAGGTGATAAAATTCAAAAAGTAACAAATTATGTGAAGCCAATTCAGGATTTGATAGATTCTCAACCTATGTAAGTAACTAAAGTAGAAACTGAACATGTGTTCCATATGATGTGCTAACATCTGACATCTTCTAACTGCCACTTGCAAAAGATGTTGTTAGTAATTTAGGCAAGATAATCAAATATTGGATAATATGTCTATTTTATTGGAATGTATGAGTTATTTCCAAGAAAATATTGTTCTTGTGTTTTAGTGTATCACCAATGATATATAGCTTTAATGTAAAAGTTAAATAAATGTTTTTATTATTGTAAACTAATGAAAATATTTAATACTTTTTTATAACTGTGATGAATGAAATGGATGATCCATTTGTATCTGCTGCTGTTTAAAGCACTTTCTGGCACACATTGATATTATCATCATCTTCTAGTCCTTCACAAATCCACTGCTTGTAGGCTTTCATCACTTAATCTACTGAGAGTCCATCCTACATGCTGATTACTAGAATGAGACTACCACTCTATAACCCCCATCAGTTGTTGGCTTTTATACAATTAAAGTCTATTAAAGTTCGTTGCTGAACATAGGCTTCCTCCATATATTGCCTCATATCTTATGCATTGAGATGTTTGCCATAGTTGCCATACTTGGAATTGAAGGTTGGCAACTTCAGTTTTTTATTTTTAGTCGTTATTAGGACACCCACGGGATGATACAGGGTAGTGGATATTCATATACTGCCACTACACAGTAAAATATCAAATGACATTTCTCATACATAATTTTTTTTAAAAATGCGCGTAGTCATCACACTGGCCTAGTAAGTTGATGGGTATAATAAGCAAAATATAAGGCGGACCCCTATTAAACGGGAGTGATGACCTCTAAGACATGCATAAAGTCTATGGATGCATGTCACACAGGATCATGCTTTGTGGCATTCCTTAGGACGTGCTTGTGTTCAACTAGTGAAGGGCGCTAATGACGATGATTATTACCTAGAAAAAAATAGATTATGATATTTTTTATAAATATTGAGGAATGTGTTTATTATTTTATGGTTCAGATCAAAAAATGACGAGAAAATACTTGACTTCATATCAAGCGAAGCTCACCAAACTGCTGAGATTCTCAGTAAATTTAAAATTGATGATGATCTTCCATTCTATAAGCAATATATGAGATTCAGCTCGGAGAATAATACAGAGAACTTTCTAAAAATACTGAAAAAACTTCCTAAAGGTAAGAATTCATTTTATAATATTCTTCATTATATATCACGTACATTACTAGGTTAATATTTTTAACACTTTTACTTAGTGGTCAGACTATGTAACTGTGGTTCACTGATGTGTTGCATTAACCACTCAGGTCAACTCAAAATGTGTTGTGATATAGTTTCATGGGAACAATATACACTCCCTTGTCACTATGTACATAAATGGTATATATTGTGAAGTATATACATGTCATTCATATTTACTATTTTAATAAGAGTCTAATTAAAGCTTTAACAGCTATTTCAAGTGACATATCTCGTCATTGATACTTTAAGTATTACATGGTGACCTTCTAGGATGCAGCACACACAACATTTGTATTTAGTATTTTCAGAACAGCCTCATTACACACAGTGGTAGAATTGTGGTAGGAGTGATACAAGGTGGCAGAACTTTTATTCTGCCTAGGAGACCCTCTCGGTAACTACTTCTACCTCTGGGTAGGTACTATCCTCTTACTTATTGCTGCCGCTAAATAGCAGTGCTTGTACTACTACATTCCAGTCGGAAGGCAAAAGTAAAAAACCAGTGTGTGTTGCCACTACACAGGACTTTTTAATAGAGATGGGCCGAATATGGATTTCACCGAATACGAATATTCGGCCGAAAGTTCGGTAATACTTTTACCGAACCGAATATTTGACCGAATGTTATTCGGCAGGAGCATCTCGGTACCTAACCAATTTATGTCGAAACTTTTTACCGTAGAGCGTGCGGGATTAGCGCCCCTCGCTCCCCGCCACACCTGACATGTTATTGCATCAACTAGTCTGAGAAAATTGCTGGTACATGCTTATGTTTTGACTATTTTTGTGAGAAAAAAAGTATTTCGTTGGTTATTCTCAGAGAAAATTGATAATTATACAATAAAAATTAGTGGCAGTAGATCTACTATTTGGACTACGAGAAACTGACAACCAAAGTAAAGTGATTTCTTTGTTTGATTTCTAAAATATTTTATCAAGCTTTTTGTTTGCTATAATTGGAAATAAATCTAGAGACCTTCAAAAACATAAAGCTATACAAGTAGATTTAACCCATAAATAAAATGTACTTTCAATCTCAATTCATACATTTCAATACAGTGGACATTATGGTACCACTTTAACGAATTTTCGGTGATTTAGCCGAATATTCGGCCGAATACAAATATTTGGTAAAGCTGCCGAATATCGAATATGAGACGAATATTTGGCATGTATCTACTTTTTAACTATCAATAATTAATTTTTCTTGCCCTAGTGAAGCTTATGTGCTTTGCACGGTGTTAACGGCTTGAAAAAGTAAGTAAATAATTTTAATTCATAAATTTTCAGAATGGACTATAATACAATTGACAGCACCATACAATCCCAATGAGAATTTGAAGCCCCTGAACGAGTATCGATGTGAAATTGACTCTATCTATTTGTCAATGTTCACAAATGATTATCTTGATTTCAATAGTGTTGGTCCTCTCACAGTTGAAATACCAGCTAATGTCATAAAAGGTGAATGAATACATTTTCAAAACTGGTGTCTAGTAAGTCATTTTGAAGCCAAAACAAGATTATAATTTTATTATTGTATGTTTTTTGCTATTTATATATTATTAAAACAACATTGTGATACATTGTTTCACATTAACAACATTATTTGCTATGCAAAATCCGATAAGCAAAATAATCTATCGGTAGTAGGAACAAAATATTTATAGTTTAACAAGTCATCTAAATTAAATGTCATAAAATTTTTGTTTCTTGTAATAACTTGAAATAATACGAAAAAGCTTAGTGAATACTAATTAAATAAAAAATCGATCTTAACCACTAAGTCACTGAATCTTCTCCCGGAGTCGCCGAGCCATTACTAAAACAAAATGTAAATGCATGTACAAAGAATTTTTTGTTATATTTCATAAAGTAAATTAAAAAAAGTGACAATAAGTATTATTTATAATCTATATTGAATAAAAAAGTTTTTGTTTCTTAATAATTTCTTATATTTACGCGAACACTATACATTGATTAAAACTACTTTTACGGATTTTATCGCGTTTATTTTACTATTATTTTTAATTCCCGCGAATTTAAAATTAGTAAAATAAACGCGATAAAATCCGTAAAAGTAGTTTTAATCAAAGTTTTTGTTTCTGTTTTAATACCCTTAATTTATTTTTACATCATAATAGCTTGTTGGGTTTTGCAGGCGCAGTGACGGATTTTATATATGGCAGAGTCATGCTGCAGCTATTCTATGCTTGTAGTCGAATGGGTCGGCTCCACAGAGTAGGACAATGCTCTCACTCACCAGCGTGAAATTACAGCTTAATGCTGTCGTGTTTCGTATGGTAGTGTAGAGAATCTGCATTTTTATTTTTAATCAAGGATGGATGTGGATTTCTATGAGCTACGGCATCCACTTACCATCTGTTGGACTTTTGTTTGTCACCCTTATTCTATTAAAAATCATTTATTGTACTATTAGCTTTAGGAAGTTGGAAAAAGGTGTCGGCTTCAATGTGGTTTAATCCAACATTGATTCTATGCATTTCAGAAGGAGAACAGCCCCTCTTCAAGGAATTGTTTTCTCTACTAGAGGAGAACTACAAAACCATTGACAATGCCCCGTTTCTTAATAACAAACGTCTTGTGCAGAACTATTGGAGCAAACGTGAGGATATTGACTTGAGAATGAAGGTTAGTTATAAAAAAACCCTTTTTACTGCAAATGTGGCATTCTATCTTAGGAGCCGCCTCCACGAGCGAGAGAATCGCGAAGAGTCCGCGCTTCTATCGTCGGGTAGTCTCCACGAACGAGCGATTATACCGCCAGCGTATCGTAGTGATTCGTAACGGAATTGCTGCATGTCCGCAACTCCACTAAACGCGTATTTTGCGTGTGGGCAGGAATATCACGAATCACGATATTCGAGTCATGAAATCTCTTCAAAGAAGCTCAGCAGTCCCTTGGTGTTGCAAGCAACTTCAGGGAGTGATTTCGGCGTGCCGAGATGTTTAACCCCTATGCAGCGACTTCCGGACATGCCAGCAACATGTGGCCTGCCATTTCCTCCCCTCTCAGTAGGTCAGTTCATCTACTGCGTCATTGCCCCTGGCTCCACTGTGTCCCTTGATCCATTGTAGAGTCACATCGTTGTATTTACATACCTTATTTAATCAAGCTTAGAGGTTAGGAGCTCTCCGTTTTCATAATTTACGAGAAACCTAACCGACTACAACCAGCAATTTTTTCCAAACTGATTCGACTTAGGAACCTTCTAAAAAAATGGTTTCTCTTTTTTAAAAGGCTGGCAAACAACTGCAATTTCCCTGGTGTTGGGGGTCGCAACTTATCATACTCGCATGCTTTTTTGCCCCCTCTTATATAAAAAAGACATGGCTTCATCATGGAACACAGAAGTTAACTCTTCAAAACACTGAAGCCCTGTTAGACCTCTTCGAACATTGTAGAAAATTATTGCTTGGATATTTTCCTTAGTAAGATTCATTTTCATATGTGACCTGACAGATCCGAAATTGCTGGTAAATATGTAAACGACAGAACTTAAAAGGCATGCCTCGAATATATGTAGGCTGTTTATAATTTCATATATCCTTTGATTTCAGAGTGTAATTAATGTGATGGATAAAGAATGGTTGGGTGGATGGACTAGTCTTCTTACTGGGAAGCTGCAGGACGAGACCTTGCGAAATAAAGTCATAAAGTTAGTTGACGCTACAATATCTGATTGGGGGTAAGTATAAGATAAAATTTGTTTTTGAAATTAATTAAAACATTCCTATATATTGACCGTGTAGAGACGGTGTAAGAATATCTACTACCACATATCATCCCGTGGGTGTCGTAGGGGGCGGCATCAGCATCTTTCAAATAACAATTACTAAAGAGAAATCCGGTTGTCGACACGTCTGGCAAGTGTGGTGCCAACTTTGGCAAATGTATGAGGTAATCTATGGAAGAGGCCTATGTTCAGCAGTGGACTTTTAATAGGCTGTAATGGTATTCCCATATTCCTTCTTCTTCATTTGTAACTCCACTGTTGGACGTGGACCTCATTCTCTCTACTCATTGGAAAAAAGATTAAGAAAGGCTGATTCATAAGTACAACTTCTCAATTTTACAGTTCATGGACTAACCATTAAGCTATTGTCACTTTGATATTAAATTTTTTTTTAAATAATCAGGCGTACCTTTGTGGAAATCTATTTATTATATTAAAGATGTGAAAGTTAGCTAAGATCCACGTGAAAATAAAAATGACGTGTTTGAAGAGCACCTCCCGGTCTTCCCGTAAATGCGTGCACTATTCCCGTTACCACTAATCTCCACACAACTACTAGTCTAAGAGCTGGCTACAAAAAAAATGTCCGGATCATCCGAATCAGTAAAAAAGAAACCTTTGGTGTAACTGAACACAAAGGACAATGACGAACTTCCAAATAATTTTTGATGACATTTTTTCTTGCGTCTACAAATGAATAATATAAAGTTTGAAATCCTGAACAATTTTTATTCAATCATATTGCTGCAGGAAGTCAGGAATTAAAAAATATTCCAGTTTGAACAAAATTCACATCAAGTGAGGCTTGTATGGTATAACAACTTTACCTGCCTTAATTGTAAAATCGTTGCAACAACAACAACTAGTTAATATAATTTTTTATTAGTATTCATCGATTTTCTAGTAGTATTCATCGGTATTATAAGTTAATATAGTGCACACTTGAATAATAGTACATATAAAACTAAGCTGTAGGTATATTCAGCATTTATAAATATTTTAAAATCGATGTAAAACTTTTCACTAGTTCCGGCAAAACATAGTGCCTGTCTATGCACAAATGTCGTATGGATTCTATTTTTGACATGTATTGATTGATTGTGAGTGTAATTCTAACAAATACTTATGATATTACCAACACACAGTAAGAAATATGTTTTGAACTGGTTGTATTACAAAAAACAAAATATAATGTAGGTAACTCCATTTATTGTTGTAAATCGTAATTTATTTAAGTATTCTATTAACAGTAGTAGATAAAGAAACAGAAACCTTTTATTCAATTTAGATTATAAATAATACTTATTGAAAGTCACTTTTTTAATTTACCACTGGTTTGGAAAAAACCTCTGACTTGAACAGAACCAGCAAAATACCCAGTGGGTCTTTTAAACAAAGCCAGCTTACACACACACACAGAACAAATTAGAAATAGCTTGGTAGCGATCACCTTACCCACGGGTTATTGTCAGCCATAAATTCCTTTATACTACAATAACCCCTTTTATACAAACTTAGTCTAAATTTTTTGAACTTTGATGATTGACTGACATATATAGATAGGAGCGGTGTCAAGACTTTGTTTTAATATGTTTTGGTTGATTAGTAAGTTGTATACATCATAATAAAATGACTGGGAATTAACATGCTTATCTATGTTATTACACAATGATAAATAGTGAGGAAGTAAGAAGTTTTAAACTGTTTGTGTGAGGATTACAAAAACACAGGTTTAATTTAAATGTATTTATTACTGGCGATGCGCCTCAGCTGCAGCACTGGTGACTTGTGGATCTCGACAACAGTGCCATCTACCGGGTCCAAATGTAAATATAAACCATCTAGGGATCCATCCAAACACACACAAACATTTTCATTGAAATTGGTTGGATGGTTTCTTATGTTTTATCTATAACGGACATAGGAAAAAAAATTTTAGTGTTAGATATATTTCTGAAGGTTTTTTGAAAATAACTTGATGGTAACATGTACATTTATGATATTGTAAGCAATCAGATCACTTTTTGTCTCTGCAAGCTTTCAGCCTGCAAGGCATACAGATTTGTTCTAAGTGATCCACCTGAAAAGAAGTTAATGAAAATTGTAAAGGTGTCTTAACTAAATAATAATTCTTATCAACTATATAGGAATTAAAAGGACATTTTTAATAATAAGAGATATGAGATAAGAATATGCCTTCAATGTCAATAAACTGTATTTACATATTTCAGTGAGCATTTTCTTATATCTGCCTTTTCATATGTTAAATAATAAAGAAATTATTATAAATTATACAGCATTAATCAGGTCCAGCTGATCAAATACAGAAGCAGTAATTATTGATTAACATCAATAATATTCAACCATGTAAAAGTTGTCTCACATTTTATTTTCACTGGTTTCATGTACATAGGAGACAAATATATTATTGTTATATTAAGTTTATCTGATTCTAGATGACAAAATAATATTCCTTTCTGCAGAGTGAACAACACAGCTGTCTAAGCATAATAGATACAACCATTACACTTTTTTATGCAAACTATTATTATTAAACTTTATATTTGCTTCTAGTACAAATAATTACTACATTTTTACACATAAATATATGTACCATTTATATTGCCTATCTACTATGGCTGATATAAATCCAGGATCCGTGTCTGGCTTAACAAAAAAGCCATTTATTAAGAAACTTACTGAATACATAAGATACCTTTTTGTACACAAATGCAGTTGTATGAATTGCTCTTCAAAACCCTCTTTAAGTCCCTCGTCCCAAACATTCTAATTTTCTTTTAACATTATAATAACTTCTTTTGTGCATTTATTCTATTTATTATTTAATTTAGATTTAACTAATAACATAAACTTAATACTTTGTCACTTTTAACAAACTAATAAGGTTCTAAGACCTGTTTGTTATTTGTATTTGTTTTAGGTAAAATCTACAAACTTAATAATAGATTTTCACAACCTAGAATAGGTGTAAATTAATAAACTCTCATATTAATTAACCTAAACTCGTCGGTTTTATTTACGAATTTTACCACAAAAAAATAAAAAGAGAAAAACCTACGTACTTGTGTCAATTAATATTTGGCTAACCTTACTGATAATTGATAATATCCATATTTTCTTAAACATTAGTCTAGTAATGTTTGTAAATAAAAACTTCATTTTGTTCTAACCATAATGATGCGACTCCAACCATGTTGTATTTCATTTATTATTTAGTTTAGATTTAACTAATAACATAAACTTAATACTTTGTCACTTTTAACAAACTAATAAGGTTCTAAGACCTGTTTGTTATTTGTATTTGTTTTAGGTAAAATCTACAAACTTAATAATAGATTTTCACAACCTAGAATAGGTGTAAATTAATAAACTCTCATATTAATTAACCTAAACTCGTCGGTTTTATTTACGAATTTTACCACAAAAAATAAAAAGAGAAAAACCTACGTACTTGTGTCAATTAATATTTGGCTAACCTTACTGATAATTGATAATATCCATATTTTCTTAAACATTAGTCTAGTAATGTTTGTAAATAAAAACTTCATTTTGTTCTAACCATAATGATGCGACTCCAACCATGTTGTATTTCATTTATTATTTAGTTTAGATTTAACTAATAACATAAACTTAATACTTTGTCACTTTTAACAAACTAATAAGGTTCTAAGGCCTGTTTGTTATTTGTATTTGTTTTAGGTAAAATCTACAAACTTAATAATAGATTTTCACAACCTAGAATAGGTGTAAATTAATAAACTCTCATATTAATTAACCTAAACTCGTCGGTTTTATTTACGAATTTTACCACAAAAAATAAAAAGAGAAAAACCTACGTACTTGTGTCAATTAATATTTGGCTAACCTTACTGATAATTGATAATATCCATATTTTCTTAAACATTAGTCTAGTAATGTTTGTAAATAAAAACTTCATTTTGTTCTAACCATAATGATGCGACTCCAACCATGTTGTATTTCATTTATTATTTAATTTAGATTTAACTAATAACATAAACTTAATACTTTGTCACTTTTAACAAACTAATAAGGTTCTAAGACCTGTTTGTTATTTGTATTTGTTTTAGGTAAAATCTAGAAACTTAATAATAGATTTTCACAACCTAGAATAGGTGTAAATTAATAAACTCTCATATTAATTAACCTAAACTCGTCGGTTTTATTTACGAATTTTACCACAAAAAAATAAAAAGAGAAAAACCTACGTACTTGTGTCAATTAATATTTGGCTAACCTTACTGATAATTGATAATATCCATATTTTCTTAAACATTAGTCTAGTAATGTTTGTAAATAAAAACTTCATTTTGTTCTAACCATAATGATGCGACTCCAACCATGTTGTATTTCACTCGAGTGAATCGACTGAATTTGTCCAACTCGATAATCGATAGAAAATTAATTTTACCGAGTTGCCGAGTTAACTCGGCGCATCGTATAGATTCAGAGGATGCTATTTAGATATTACTTCACTAATTTACTTGTAGGGTAACCTGTCCAACAATGGGCCACCTAAATTTTAAAACTTAATAACTCCGCTGTTTCTTAAGATATTAGGTGTAAGTTTTTAGGCGAAGATAGCAAATTTAATTGGTTACAGATTAGCATCATTTTTTTCTTAAAACATTTGTAGATATATCATGACTAAGGTTTTTTTAAAAAATGGGAAATGATCCATTGTGTACTTATGTGAGTACACAATGAGCCTAGCTATATTTAACAATGAGCCAGGATCCAATGTACTTATTATTTTGTACTATTTGCAATAAATTTGGTAATTTCATTAATAAAACAGTGCTTTTTATTTATAACCTTCGTTTTATTAGTTTATTTTTGTTATATTAAAAAAAATACAGAACATTTTTTTATTTTGAGTGAGTTTTATTAAAGTAAGAGAAACTTAAACATTTTAATAGTTAAAAAAATATTATCAAACACTAAAAAAAAACAACAAAAAATAATAACAATCAGTCTCATAATAAGTAATACTATTATAGTAAAGCAAACTGTAACGAATAAACATCATAGCTAGTCAATGACATTACTATCGCAAATTTAACTTTGGTGACATGCGAAGTGGGAAAACATAAGTAGAGTTTCGGGTTTTTGTTCCATTTATTTTTGGTAGCGGTAGAATCATTTTAATATCTGTAATATTCACTTCAGCAAAATCCGGTTCTAATGGCATGTAGTATTTACATTTCATATCCTCTTTTACTATAAGTCTCATAAAAGACGCTACGTAGGTCTCAGAATTCAAAACTTCTGTTATTACTGCAGCATAATATATTTTTATCTTTTTAGTATTGAATGATACCAATACGTAATCATTAAATTTAGGCTTTCTTTCTAGTTCTCGAAAGTTTTCGTTTACCATAGGTAAATTGTCAGCATCAAGATCTTCATCTTCATCCTCTCTACCACTTATATCAGACTCGCTCAAATCTATAACCTCAAAATTTTCCTCTTCACTTGTTTCAGGATCTGATGGAATTACAACCTTCTTTGCTTTCTTCTTTTTCCTTGGTTCTTCGAAATTTTTGTCTTGCAGTATAGGTCGTTTAATTGCACTTGCCGCAGACTTCTTGTATAATAAGCATAAACACTCACGCCTGTCACCCAGAGGGGTAGGCAGAGACTACAGACTTCCATTTGGCACGATCCTGACACACCTCTCTCGCCTCCTTCACATCCATACACCTACGCATGCATGCTCGTCGGTTAAGGGTACTCCTAATTTGGCCCGTTTTCAATAAATCGCCAATTTGGTCGATAAATTTTCGCCTAGGACGTCCCTTTCCGACTCTGCCATTCACTTCTGCAACATAAATTTTCTTTGTCACTCTTTCCTCATCCATTCTTTCCACATGACCAAACCACCGAAGCATTCCTTTCTTAATCCTGGTCACAACATCATCTTGCAAACCACACTCTTCTCTTATCACACAATTTTTCACCCTGTCATTCAGATTCAGCCCTAACATACTCCTTAACGACCGCATTTCTACTGCATTTATTCTACTCTCGTGCTTCTTCTGCCATACCCAACTTTCACTACCATACGTTAAAGTAGGGACCAACACAGCATTGTGAATTGCCATACGTGCCTTTTTTGACACATTTTGACTCTTCACAATAGAGTGCAGGGCTCCATTTACTCTGTTTCCTGCGTTCACTCGTCGTTCTATATCCTTATCATATCTCCCATCCCTGCTAAATACGCAACCCAAATATACAAACTCATCTACTTGCTCGATCAACTCCCCTTCTATTCTTATTTCACATATCGTTTTACTTTCATCTCTTTCAAAAACCATAATTTTTGTCTTACTTGCGTTCACTTTCATACCCCTTTCTTTTAATGATCTGTTCATTAATGTAACCATCATTTGCAACTCAGCCGCCGACGACGCAAGAATAACTTGATCATCGGCGTACAAAAGGCATTTGATGGTTAACTCACCCATTCTTAATCCGCATTCTTCAACTTTCAAATTTTGCAAACAACTGTCCATAAATAGGTTGAACAACCTTGGGGAAGCCACACAGCCCTGTCTGACACCTTTATGGATGCCAAACCAGTCCGAGTAGACCCCGTTGATCCTAACACAAGCACTAGAGTCCCTATAAAGAGATTCCAATGCCTGTATCAAGCCAGCGCTCAACCCAAATGAGTTCAGTGTTTGCCATAGCACATTCCTATCCACTCTGTCATAGGCCTTCTCCAAGTCCATGAACGCACAAAAAACCTTTTGGTTTTTGGCCAAAAACTTCTCCGCGATCATGCGCATGGAGAAGACTTGATCTGTACATCCCATTCCCTTTCTAAATCCCGCTTGCACATCCCAAATTTTTCCATCGGTTTCTTTCATGACCCTTTCAATTAGTACCTTGGCATACAGTTTTCCCACGATGCTAAGAAGGCTGATACCGCGGTAGTTTTTACAGTCCTGCTGCGACCCTTTTCCCTTATATACTGGGACTATCACGGCTTTGCACCAGTCTCCCGGTACCCGCTTCAGTTCCCAGCATAAATTAAACAAGGTGTGCAGCAGGCCTGCCACCACTTCCTCTCCAGCACTTAGCATTTCGAGTGAAACTCTATCATATCCGGCAGCCTTACCTGCTTTCATGCTTCTCATTGCTTTCATTATTTCATCTATACTTATCTCGCTACCTTCTTCCTCTTCTTTCGGAGTTCCTATTTCATTCAGTTCATACGTTGTCTCCTCACTCATAAACATGCTTTCAAAATATTCCTTCCATCTCTTTAAACTCAAAACTTCATCATTCAGAATATAGCCATTCTCATCTCTTATAGCATTCATTATAGGCTGTTTTGAACATCCCCTGGCAGTTCTTACGAGTTTCCAGAACATTTTAATATTTGCCTGGAAGTTATCCGATATTCTTCTATCATTCTTATCCGTTCTTTCTTGCTTTTTCCTTTCAACTACTTCTTTTACTCTTTTATTTAGATGTCTAAAGACTGCCTTTTTTCTTTCAAAATCATCATTCGTACCGCTTGAATTACCAGCCTTAGTTGCTAGTAAATCTAGCCATGCTCTCTTCTTTGCTTCAACTTCCGTACGTATCTCATCATCCCACCATAACGTATTATTTTTCCTTTCATTCTTTCTTTTACTAACACCACATACTTCGGTAGCTGCATCTACTAAACCTTTCTTAACATTTTGCCATACATTCTCCAAGTCTAACTCATTCATACATAATTCATCCAAGCCACTTACGTTTTCTTTCAGTCTACATTTAAACTTGTTTTTCTCACCTTCATCTTGTAATCTTTCTGTTCTAATACGCTGTAACGCAGTGGTAGACACAGATGACCGATGGCGCCACCGCCTGAATAGACCATTAATTCGGCATAAAACCAAAAAATGATCCGTTCCTACGTTTGACCCCCGGTAAACCCTTGTATCCACCACTGCGCCCCTCAATCTTTCATCCACAATTATGAAATCTATCATGCTTCTATCATCACCTCTTTCCCAAGTGTACATGTGAATCCTCTTGTGGCGAAAGAAAGTGTTCGTCACAAAAAGATTCTTTTCCATACATACAGTGAGGAGGCTTTCACCATTCTCATTTATACTTTCATCACCAAACGTTCCCAATATCCTTTCATAACCAAGCCTCCTCACCCCAACTCTTCCATTAAAATCTCCTAGCATAACAACATTTTCATTTCCCTTACATTTCATTAATACCATCCTTACCATTTCCCAAAACTGCTCTCGGATATGAGTGGGCTTAGACATGTCTGGGGCGTAGACCCCTAGTACAAACAACTTCTTTAAGCCCACTTTCAATCGTATCCATAGCAGTCTTGGGCTTACACATTCATACTGTTTCACACATTGCACCATTCTTTCTGATAGGATGATCCCTACTCCCTGGCATGCCCGCTCGAGCTCGTCTACACCAGACCAGTATGCGGTATACATGCCATGTGTAGTGACATCCTTCCCCTTCCGTTTCGTCTCATTTACACATAACAAATCTATTCCTCTATCATACATCACCTCGCATACTTCACCCATTTTATCATTCATTGCTCCACATACATTCAACGTAGCCAGACGGGCCTCTGCAATCCACTTTTCGCCCCTCCGGGAGACAGAACGTGACGGGTGGCGAGCCTCGTCGCCGGTTTTCCTCCCGGAGATTCTTCGCACCCCTGCCCCATTAAAGGGGCGCCGGGAACTCGGGGCCATTTCTTTACTTTGATTCCTCATGGTGCGAATGGGGTGGTATATTTAACGCCGCTACCACGGCGAGGAGCCGAGTCTGTGCTATCGGCTTGTCGCTCATTTAGCACCACCCGGGGGACACGTGTAGGGTGGGCCTAGGATTAGGTGGTGGTGGTGGTTTTTTTTCGTTCTTCAGCTATCTGATTCTTTTCTGGCGTATCCGTAGCAATCATGCTTTTTCCTAGTTTTCTCGGCTTACGACGTCCAGCTCGTGGTCCACTTTTTAAGGGCAGCATAAATTCTTTAGGTGATTTAAATGTCCGGTCGCCTGTATCTTTCAGAACTTCGTGCATAATTGAAGATGGACTTTGAGAATTTTGTGCTTCAAAAAGAGCCATAATGTGTTCAGGAGTAGTAGATTCCAATAAAGATGGACTTTCAGCACTCCGGATTCCAGTATTATTACCTCCAACATCTTCAGAAGGGTTTTCCTCAAACAGTATTGGATTATGAGCACAGGTAATATCTGATGATGGACTAACAAGATTCTTTCTGTCGTTTAATTGTTCAGAAGGTGCAGCCATTAATTTCGCAGATGACGTTTCCGGTTGGTCTCTATCAGTAACAGCAGATGGCATGAAGTCAATTTCGCTAAAAACGTCTGCGTCGAACGGGAAAATACCACATTTTTTAAAAGCAGAGGTTATATTAACTGGCGTCATTGATTTTGCATATGCGTATCCTACGCACTCGGCTATATTGTATATAGTCATCTGTTTTCCGGGATTTCTCATTAACCATGAATCTACGGCACTATTATAATAGGCTTTGAAGGGACCAATTAAGCCCACGTTAAGAGGTTGCATTTTACTTGTTGTGTGGGGGTGTAATGTAAGGATTGTCACTCCAGAACGTTTCGCCATGTCCAAAGCTTCAATACTTAAATGGGATTCGTGATTGTCCATGATCAATAAAGCTGGATTTTCTGAACTTGCAGAGGTATGTTTTATAAAATGCTTCATTACTTCAATAAACAACTCTGCGTTCATCCACCCACTTGGATTAGCAAGTCCGAGGGATCCAATGGGGGCGCCAGTCATCATATAATCCTTTAAGTTCTTCCTTGGAAAAACTAACGCCGGAGGTAAGGCTTGCCCAGACGCACAGACAATAGCACATGTTGTCACTAATGTACCCTTCTCTCCACTAGTTATTTTACAAATATTCTGGCGCCCTTTAGGTGCTATAACTTTTAGCGGCTTCTGAACGGTTGTAGTAGCAGTTTCATCCAAATTGTAGATTCTACAGCCATTTCCAAAAGATGGGTGGCGTTCCATAACGTTCTTTAAGTTATCAAAAAACATCTTAACTGTGTCTTTGTTAAAAGCGGTGGCACGAGCAAGGCTGCAGGATTCTGGTTTTTTCAAGGATAAATCCAGATTCCTTGATCTATATGACCGAAGCCATTCAAGGCCTGCCATTTTTTCACGATTCCAACTATCAGGAGTTTTAATATTATTAATAGTTGCCATTTGATAAGCAAGGCTTCGAACGTCTTTAGTGGATAACCCATAAAATTTTAACGCACATTCTTTGATATATTCTGTCAGTGATTTTTCTTGTTCATTAGTAAATATTTTGTTGACATCATAATTGGGTGTCAATCGCTGCTTGTGTAAATCCGAAGTACTAACATTTACATTTTTTTTAATGTAACGTTGCAGTGTTGGATAGCATACATTATACTCTTTAGCTGCTTTTCTGATACTCCGTCCTTGCCTATAATGTCTGATAGCCTGAAGCATGTTATCAGCAGTGTGGTTACCTTTCTTTCTTTTATTAACTTTAGTGCGCGCCATCTAAAACAAAAAGTAAAAATTACAATGCATCAGTAAATATTTAACTAAAAGAAAACGTATAACAAAAGAAAAAATGTTAGTAGGTTATTTGTGTAGATATAATAAAAAACATAAACACTAGCAATGAGCCATATGGCAAACAATGAAACACGATTCGTACACAATGAAACATGGCTCATTGTGTACAACGAGGTTTTGTTTCATTGTGTACTATATGTCACATATTTCTAAAACCTTGAAATAAAAATGTAAAATAAAAAAAATCAAGTATGTTTCGTACGTAACTGAAATCTGTAGTACATGTACAATGTCAAGCAATATTAAGAAAAAAAGCAAACTTTAACATATAATAATGAAAAATCGACAAATATTATTAAAAAATCTTACTTTTTTTGCGTAAAATCCGTATAATGACCGCCACGCGTCTGCTTCGCACGCGCCGCAGTCGCGAACTGGGGCGGTGGGAGGGGACTTGGGGCCGCGCATTGAGTTATACAACACTAGAGGAGCAAACCACATTACCGCGCGTCGAAAAAAGTGTAACCACTATCCAAACGCGACGACGTAGCTTTGAAACTAATAACAATTTTAAGTAAACATATATCTATCTCACTTACACGAGTTGCGAAAACAATATCGTCGCTAAGATTAGATAAAGATAGACACACAAACATGCAGTGGCGGGTTGGTGTGGCTTACTATATGAAATTTTACCTAAAATACGCAAGAAAAATGAGTTTTTTTAAAGCTGCACATAATTTTTTTATATTAAAAAATTATATTTTATTTTAAAGTCTTTTACGTCCCCTTAGAGAAAAAGGATACAAAGCTTATCAGATGAATAGAAGTAAACATAATGATGAAATAAAACGTATTTTTATGGTACTAATAAATCAAACAATATAAAATAGGTATAAAATAGGTAATAAAATATATTTAATAGATAATTCATGAATTAACTAAAATAAGAATAATTAATTATTTTGTATGAAAGTTAAAACGTAGTTTTTATTATAATTTCTAAAATATTTAAAATCAGAGGTAACAAATTAACTTAATCCATTAATTATATAGTCTCCCATTAATGTAGGATAATCACAAATGCGGAAAAGTGGCAACATTGACCCTAAATGGCAATATTCTATAATTTTATTTAATTATTTGAGGTTTTTTACGTTTATATGAAAACAAGAATTAAAAATTATGTGTTGAAAGTGATTCCGCTTGATTTATTACATTTTTGTGACCTTGAATAGCATTCTTTCACTACGCATTTACCCATTTTTGTCGCGGCTCAACTCAGTCGGCGTCACATTGAACAATGAACTCACGTTAGCTAGGCATATGGCTGTGGCCATATGCGCAGTGACAACGCTTTGGCGCGGTTATTACTGATCTAGTGTTGTATAAATCAATGGGGCCGCGTCTTTACATGTACTGTGCACTATCTGGCAACTTCGCATTTTTGAAATATAGCATTGTTTCATTGTGTACTACTGGCTCAATGTTGGACAGGTGACCCTATATATAATAAGTCGCTGCGGGTGACATCACAAGTTGCATCCAAATTCAAACTTGCATCTGGCATGTAGTAAACAAACCTGAACTTAGTTTGATTTATGATATTGATTTATAATTTTAATTTCATGTTGCCACATATTACTTATTTACAAAGGTAGATATTTAAAAATGGTTTAACTAAAGTAATCGCTACTCTCAACTCTGGTGATAAACTTTTCTGTAAATAGTCGATTTGCTCAAAAACTAGTGTACAACTAGAATGACATACTTACATACATAAATTAACCCGAGTGGCTCGAGTCACAAAACTCTACTCAAATCGCATCTTTATCTTACGGCCAATGCAGTGTTTGTCTATAATTTAGTGATGAAATCGACTTACTAATTCGAGCAATTTATTGATATATTATGTAATAAATAAATTGATATTAGGTAATATGTTTATAATGTTGTATCAATTCATGTTATATATAATATAAATTGATTATATATATACTTTGGATAGTCAAATTATTATTAACATTAAGACTTACGTCATAACGTTAAAGTGATATTATTTTATGAAGAATGTCAATACGTATACCAAAAATTATTCATAACTACCTATTAAGTGTAGTAATAATAATTGTGTTGTATGGAAGAACAATTAAAAAAATAATTTGTGACAAATTGACACAGCTTCGTTCAGCTAATTTGAATTGCGTAACTCGAGCTCAAAATCGAGTTAGCTGAATTTCAACTCGAGTCGATTTTTTCCGAGTTATCACGGCATTAAGACTTACGTCATAACGTTAGAGTGATATTATTTTATGAAGATTGTCGATACGCATACCAAAAATAATATATAACTACCTATTAAGTGTAGTAATATTAATTGTGTTGTATGTAAGAACAATTATAAAAATAATTTGTGACAAATTGACACAGCTTCGTTCAGCTAATTTGAATTCCGTAACTCGAGCTCAAAATAGAGTTACCCGACTTTCAACTCGAGTAGATTTTTTTGCGAGTTATCACGGCACATCTCTAAGACAATAATTTTTTAAATATTACATTATCTTAGCCAATGATCAGAACACGAATATCAAAACAACAATTTTTTTTTCAGATTTCTTGATTCCGTTTACATTTTCGAAAAATCTACAGGCCATTTACTATTATAATTTGGTGTCTTTTTTTGGTGCAAATACCATTAAACGACGTTAATATTTCTAGTGGGCCCAAAAATGATTATCTCATTAAATCTATCCAAATTCAAATCATACCTATACTTTACGAACGGCAATAAAACAATAAATTTAGTAGGCATCTTAGATCTTGTCACTTCGCGGGGTCACAGGCTCAAGGGCAAAGCCGCCCGCTATCTCAATTCTTCAGTTACTTGTTATTAGCTGTGTAGTATGACGTCGCGTCGCCATCATATTATTTATGTTTCCGCGTGTGTGGTACTGGTCGGCGAGATTACCAGACCTAACACCTCTATACATTTTTGTGGGCCGAACAAAATCGATTAGTATACACAGAAGAAGCACAAAGTGTTCGTGATTTAAAGCAGAGTATAACAGACGCATTTAATGCTTTAAAAAGTGATAGAGACCCGCTTCGAAGTTTAACAAACAATTTACAAAGACGTGCTAATTTGTGTTTAGAAGGAAACTTATTTAAATATATAATTTTTATTTTTTAAATAACAATAATGTAGCATAATTTTATAAATATCACTTAGTGTAGGTTGTAAATAAGTTGATTTCGATCTTTTAAATACGGCAAGATGTTGCGGTATAGGGTAGGCATAAAAATTATTATTAGAAACTGTTTATCAATTCATTATAATGTAAGATACAATTTAACATGTAATTCTACTCAACTCAACTCAACACTATCCTGTATATTAGACGGTCCTAAGCCCGTAAAAGTATGAAGGAAAGATCTAAATCACAAAAATAAGGTAATTTAGCTACTTACCATCTTCTGTTTCACATTTTTTTGCTTTTTATAAACATACGACACGCGACGGCTTTATTAACGAACGAGTGGCAATGAGAATTTCTGCTATTTTAAATATTTTTCTTTTATCGACCAAGTATTTTACAAAAATCCAGTATATGCTGATCTTGCATTAGTAGGCAATAACTAGTACTGGGAGGTCTACTTACATTGAACATTTTAAGGTCATTATTGGCATTATATGAAAAAAAACCGCCACCAACCAATGGCTTTACGTGCTTTCCGAGGCACAGGGGTGAAACACCGCCAACTTCCTGACTCCGGGTGGCTACTGAGAATTTCTTGACCAAAAAAACTCAATAAATTGATTTTTTTGTCCCGACCCGGGATTTGAACCCAAGATCTCATTATCAGCTGTCACACTACTACAATCACTAGACCAACGAGGCAGTCAAAATCAAAAATAAATATCAAAAGTGCCTAAATACTTATAAGAGAAAAATAATTTTTGGTAACGTAAGGCGCGGTCAGCTGATTCTAAAAATGTTGACTGCAACGATGTGTCGGCTGCTCTCCTCCCACTCGGCCACCTGGCACCTACGTAACGAAAGATGTACTTGCGTATAGCTCGCTCTTACAACTTTCATTCTCTAGCGATCTTAGTCTATTTTTAGTTTTACACAGGCGCCGTAGTGTGAATTGTGTTTATGTATTTTTTGGATATTCGGAAATTTTGTCTATCTAGTTACATTTTGTTATATTTTACAAATATTTTCGAGGAAAGCTTCTATTTCTTTTACTTACACAAAACACCACATTATTTTTCAGACGGTAAAATAGTAATCAAAATTTTTTTTTCAATATAGATTTTACTAATTCTTATTAAAGCCATATTTTTCTTCGACCACTGGTTGCTCTGTCTTGGGATGAAGTCCACAGTACAACACACATAACCTATAGGCTACTGACGCATTTATCTTTTTTCTTTTTCAGGTTCATAAAATTAACCACCAAGCAGAAGAACCTACTTTATAACTTGATAGACAGTTGTCATTCATTGCCATCACAACAAATAAAGTCGTGTATAAGGAGAATTTTAACTGAACATGGTAACACTAAAGACATAAAACAAGTTTTAGAGACAATTGATTGCCAAAATTGTGATAAAGAATTTCGATTTTTGAATGAGTTATGCTTAAAGTGCTTGTCCAAATGTTTTGAAGCAATCCATCATTTTAGTTTGGTGGATGGTATAAAAGCATTTTCGCAAGTGGCAACACAGGTAAAGGAAAATGATGAATGGGCAGCACTAAAGAAGGCTAAAAGATACCCAGTCATATTAATTATTGATGAGGTAAATATAATTGCGAAACACTGACCTATTATTTATTATAAAAGAAGTAACAAATGTTACACCACTAAATAAAGTCGAAGAAATTCATTGCATCCCAAACAAAATCATGTAAATGATACTATTTGCAATAATTTCGGCCGGTTTAATGTCATGTAAAGGCAAAATTATAGTATACGGTTTGTGGCCTATCGGTACCCCACTCTTGATTTATCCTGTGATCTTCTAGATACTGCAAGTCTGCTGACGACAACTACGTAGAAAATTCTTTTAGATTTTTTCACAAATAGTGGCGATTATAACAAATCCTTCGTACACTAACGGCTCCGTGGGGCAGTTGTGCCGCGGGTTCGAATCCCGCATGCAAAAGTATATGTATGGCCTACAAGTAATTGTTCTGGGTCTGGATGTTTGTCTTTGTGAAATTTATGAGTGTAAACTGCCCCCATGATACAGGAGAAAATACTAGTGTGGAGAGAACGTTTTTTTTTACAAAATTAAAATAAAGAAAATGGAAAACGACCATGTCCATCAGTGAGCTGTTTAGGCAGACAAGGAATAAATAATTATCATTTCATTTCAGATGTTAGACACATTTCCATGGGAAATGTTGCCGATATTAAACCATCAGCCCGTATCCAGAATGGAGAACATACACTTCACCTACGCTCTTTACAAGATTCACGAAAAAGACTTCATAGATGGATATTTTGCTGCTAAGTCCGACGTCGGCAGATATATCATTAATCCAGGTCGGTAGCATTTTTTAATTTCAAAACTTTATTGTTTACTTTTCACTATACTATATACTGTAATTTAAGTATAGGGGGTGCGAGGGGCGAACTTTATAGCAGTAAACTCACGGTGTGTCGAAATTTAATGACCAGCGCAGCAAAAAAGTAAAAGAAAAAATATGCACACACTTGCAAGCTCACCAACACACGCACTATACTATATTTTTAAAACATATATATACAAACATACATAATATACATAAGTACCACACCTATAAAGTCCACTGCTGAACATAGGCTTTGCAACAGACCGGTTGTCATTTGCAGTTTTTTATTATTTTGAGTTTGCTGCTGTCTATATTCTGTTTCATTTCTCTCTGTCGTATCTTACACCTACGGGTCGATATGGAGTAGTATATATTCTCTTACGCTGCCGCTACACAGCGATACTGCACACTGCACTCTACACACTGCACTCATACTGTATACTGCATCCTGCATTCCGCACACTGCATCATGCACACTGAACACTGCACATTGCTCACTGCACACTGCACCCTGTACACTGCACACTGCACCCTGTACACTGCACACTGCAAACATAATAAGTAAATGTATGTTTTCGTTATAGAAAAGAATCTGGACCGCATGGAGAAGCGTATGGCTTCATTCGTACAGTATTGGTGCTCGAATTGGACTGGCCACATTGGAGAACCGCCATCACCTGAAGACTTTCTGCGATATCTGACTGAATCAGATATATATTTGTAAGTATATTTTACATCAGCTACTGCAAATATATGATCGGTTACCATAATTGCCAACACAAGCGTCGAATCTGGTGGATCATGTATTAAGAGGGCATATGCGATTTGCGTCGAAAACTTCATGTTTTAGGGTTTTTTCAAGGGCGATATCGTAACTATGTGAGCAGATTATTTGCAGAAAATTACGGATTTAGAAAGACGAGGTCTGTATTTAGTGCACTGCAATGCAAAATCATGGTTTTTATTGACGGTTTTTTAGAGCGAAGACAATCCCTTCATAGCGTTTTACGAAAATATGCGTCAGAGTTATCTTTCATGTCGAATACAACCATTATTATAAGCTAAAATACTTTATTTTAAGCGTTATTATAATAGAATATATAGCCTTTTAGTGTAAAGTAAAGCTTAAATTACGAAAATATTTTGTTTTAATAGTAAAAAACAATACTATAAAATCACCAAAATTGTCCACTTCAATGTCATTTTTTCCGTGTATTGGGATATAAACTTATCTATTTTAATTATTATATCAAAATACAAGTAATTTTAAATATCGCAAAAAATTTTAGCTCATTTTATTCAGTCAATTATTTTATATGATTATTTTAAAAATACCGAATAAGGACAAGAAGGATTATCTTCCAGGGCGATTGGCCATCATCACAGACAGGACTATTCTTGCGAATAAGCCTGATATTGTGCTGATGGACCGGGCACAGTCAAGTCAATATTTTTAGTCGTCATTACCGTTCGAATTGACGGGAACCTTATGAAAGCCGAAACAGATTAGCGAACAAAATATCTAGACCCGGCTCACGAGGTTACTGACTTGTGGGATGGTTTGCCGACCGAAATTATTCCTTTAGTAGTCTCTGCAAACGGGCTAATCCCAGTCCGCCTCCCGCGTCATTTGAGGCAATAAGGGAATGGGAGTTCGTGACGGCTTTAATGCAGAAGGCGGTGCTTCTCGATACTAATCGAATGTACGTCAGTTTCTTTCCCTTCCCCCTTACCCTCGGCGATTTGATCCCCCCTGCCGTGGGTTTCCATCTGGATGGGTTTTTACTTATTTGACTGTAAAATGAAATGTATATTTATCATTTTATATAGTTATGCAGACCAAGCAAATGTGTAAATGTGTAAATCTGTATAAATAACCCATACATGAATGAATGATGTATGTAGGTACTGCGGTCACGGGGACGGGTGCCACCTGGCAGGGAGTGGGGCCGGCGCGGGGGTCGAAGGCGTGCCTGTGCGCGGCCTGACGCTGCTGTCCGGCTGCGGCTCCGTGCGCCTAGCGCGCCCGCCTGGCCGGGCGCCTCCCGCCGCCGCGCACCACCACCTGCACGTGGCCGCCAGGTGCGTGCATCCTGTACACTGCAACCTGCATACTGCACAGTGTACACTGCACCCTGCAAACTCCACACGGTGCACTGCACCCTGTACATTACACCCTGCACATGGCACACTTCACCCTGCATACTGCACACTGCTCACTGAACCCTGCACACTGCACTCTGCACCCTGCACATTTCCCTGCAATCTGCACACTGTACACTGCACCCTGCACCCTGCAAACTGCACACTGTAAACTGCACCCTGCAAAAAACCCTGCAAAGTGAAAACTGCACACTGCACACTACACTGCACCCTGTACACTACACCCTGCACACTGCACCCTGTACACTGCACCCTGCACATTGCACTCTAAATATTGCACCCTGCATACTGCACCCTGCATACTGCACCCTGCATACTGCACCCTGCATACTGCACCCTGCATACTGTATCCTGCATAATGCACCTTGGATACTGCACCCTGCACTCTGTACCCTGCACACTGCACCCTACACACTTAACACTGCACATTGCACACTGCACATTGCACACTACACCCTGCACACTGCACCTTGCACACACTACGGCTCAACGGACAAAAGTTTAGAGGTACATTCATGTACATATTCGTAATATAAATTAATTAAATTAATCTTGCGAAAGAACTCTGTTATACTGGTTTGCTTCAAAACATATTGCTGTTGCTCAGACTGCTCAATAACTTTTTCTTTCGTTTTTTAGACAGAAGCTTTGTAAGGTATCGAATAAGGCTCTTGCTTCCTTAACTGACACCTCTGCCAAAGGTTCTGATGTATCGTCCTCATCTTCATCGTTGCTTTTTTCATTCATATCTGTTGCAGATAAAATTTCGCCATCGGTTGGTGAACCTGAGACAGCAACATCTCATCCACTTGAAAAGTCAGAAAAACTCACACCGTTGATGTCAACTAGTGGTTCTATTGCTGGTTCTTCATCATCTATAATTATTATAATATTTTCCTGATCTTCTTTTATAAAACCGGATTTTTGGAGCAGTTGAGAATCGTTAGGGGTAGTACCGCTCTCCATGCGTTGTCAATCAGTAAAATAGCTGTCAGAACTGGATATTCACAGTTAGCTGCTAGTCGCGAGATTTTAAAACGAGCACTAGATGTTATGTACTTACAATCTTTCTGTCTCTTTCTCTCTGCAAATTTGAATTGGCGAGTGTTTGACGCCGATGAGTTCGGATTAACGCATCGTTTTGTTACGTAGCAATGACTTTCGTTCGAATTATCAAGTGCATAAAAATGAGATTTTGTAAGGAACTCGTAATAACTTTGAATTATAGAGAGGTTCGAAATATCGCTGGTTTGAATTAACGAGAGTCGACTGTATATAAAAAAATTACAATAACAGTTTTCTTCAAGAGTGTACATGCGCTAAAGTTCGCAGAGCCTATGTTCAGACTCGCCAAGAATCGTCGGCCTATTGTAGATAGGTAATATACATAAAATATATATATATATATATTTGTAAAGAGCGTTAAAAAACTTCCAACTTTTAATCACCCGGCCCGGGTGGTCTCGCGATTGTAGGTAATTATTTCAATTAGGTAGCAAGAGTGACAGAGGCTTGGTTGTGTTTTAAAAACGAAAAACATTTTTCTTGACAGTCCTATGGTGGTGGGCATGCTGTGGGAGGTGACGGACCTGGAAGTAGACAAGGTAGTGAGCACGCTGCTGTCACTGTACGTGCCTTCGCAAGCCCAAGTGCCTTGGCAATGCGTTGGAAAAGCGGCCTGGAGTCGAGGACGCCTGGGTGAGCATTCAACACGCACACACACGTACATATTCACTTTGGCCACACAAACTTAGAATTGATAAACTATTTTAACAATTGATTTGAAACTAACATCCTGATGAACTACACTTGAAATATTGAACATAGCTCAGAAACGAGTGACGATGTAAGAACATGAAAAAAAAATCAAAAATAAGAACCAGGAATATTTTAATATTAAGTTTCCCTTTTGGTTTATATTCGGTGGTTTGTGTACACATATTAAGCAGCAACTAACTCGTGGATAGTTGTAGTTAGTTATACTTTGACAGTGGTGAAGCTAGAGCTCCAAACTAGGGCAAGCCCAAGATATAAATTGATAAAAATATAGATTGATTGTTTTTTTTAGCAGATTTATAAAAATACACCAATCTTGATCTGTCTCCACGCTTCAGTTTCATATTCAGTGCTGTCAAGGACGTGTTTAACAAAGCAGAAGGCATACTACTGCTGGATTGTATGACATATCAGCAATTGCATAGCTTGGATGGCTTTGAAGCAAGCCGTTTGGGTTTGTTTAAGCGAAAAAAAAATATTTACATCCAAAACAATACATGAACAAAGTACAAATAAATTATGTACAAAATTAAAAAAAATATATTTATTTAAATTCTAATGGATAAGAGATAAGTGGAATCGTCTCGCTTTCTTAAGGAAAGATTTAATTACGTCCACGTAAAATGTTGGTGAACGTTTTAATTGTACCAATAACTGTTTTTTAATTGCGATAATTGATAAGTCTGAAATACACTCTTGACCTTGTGTATTATCTCAACAAAGTTTAGAGATTTTACCTTTTCCTCTCCGATTAGCACTTTAACACACTTCAATTCATCACAAGGAACACTATTATCCTCCATTTTCACTAAAAATCTTTAAAAAAGCATAAATTTTGAACTCGCAATATTAAATCGCTTAAGCTAAACACAGAGTAAATAAACATTGAAATATGAAATGAACTTGCAAACGTATTGCACGCGCGCCTCCGCTTTTGACAAATTCATTCCTAAAGCCTGGCTTTAAATTTCTATACTAATTGCTATATATAAAATCGTAGTTATATTTCATTATAGAATATTTTGTCATAGGTTAGAAAGAGAGTGATCGTCTTCTCGAAAGTCCCTTATACAGCCCACGCGATCGAGGGAGACAACTAATTGCTCTATTAAACTACTTTTTTATGATAGCAGCAGTATCGCTAAGTCAATACAAGGTCATCCGTTGACATGTGTCGAACAGTGGAGTGCGCGGTAAATTTGAAATAGTTTGAAACAGTTTACGAGTTATTTTATTAGTTGATATTATTGATTGATTCAATTAGATAAGTTGATATTATTGATTGATTCAGTTATATAATGCAAGCCCGGCTTTTCGGCTTCTATGGAGGTTTCGCCACTGCAGCTTATTTTATAAATTTAAACACTATATTACTCAAAGTAAGTTTGAGTAATATAGTGTTTAATTTATAAAATAAGCTGTTAGAATTATTGTTTCTTGTACTAAGTAAAGCAGAGAAAAGAAAATTTACACTTTTTAGCCCGTCTTAACGTGGTATATAATTTTTTTTCCAATTGACTCCATTAAAAGTTATAATTTGTATTATGTGTCATGTACGGCAATGGTCTGTGCTAAATTATTGTCTTTCCTTCTTTTAATGGCGGCTGTACACGCTCGTCGAGACACCACAAGACAGGTCGAGTAAGAGTGTGTACATGGTGCTCTCGCGTCCGCGTAATTCCATCCTCGCCTGGGGCCCTGCCGTTTTTAAGGTGCTGGAGAGCCATTCTAATCTCGCTTAGACTGACGTCCGGGATATCATCGGAATAGTGTCGGATAAGACTTGCTCTTGGATCGTTACTCACACTTGCGTGTGGCTCCAACGATGATGTGTACAGCTGCCCATAGAACCTCTCAATCTCACTCAAAATCTCAGGTGTCCCGGAAACGATGTTGCCACACTCAGTCTTCAGCCTTGACAGTTGGCTCTTTCTGGCAGACAGATCTCTGGCAAAGACTTTGGAGCCCTGGTTCCGCTCGATCGCTTCTTTAATACGAGAAGTATTAAAGTTGCGTAAGTCTGCATTTGGAGATCTGTCTGTTCAGTTGCCTGTATGCTGTCAAACCTGTTGACGATTGCAGCCTCATCTCCCGTCTAACAGCCATGAGATTAAGAGTGTGATCGGAGAGTTTTTGTGTTCTTCTGCGGCGGGTCTTGCAGAACTTAGCTCCGACCGCATGGACAGTTTCCACGAGCTTGTCGTTCATATCGTCCACTGCATTGCAATCTTCTAGGCACTGGAAGCGGTTACGTAACTCGAGCTGAAAGGTTTCGGGATTCTGGATTAGAGCACGAGGGGGGACGGAGCGTTGACTTCATTAGACGAGACCTCTCCAACTTAACGTTTAGGTTCAGTGTGCCTCTAACCATTCGGTGATCGCTGCCAGTTTTCACCCTTGCGATCACTGAGACATCACTGAACAGTTGGCGTCTGGTCGTCATAATGAAGTCAATCTCATTTTTTGTCGAACCGTCGGGGCTCGACCAGGTCCACTTCCTGTGGGGCCGCTTCTGGAAGAAAGAGTTCATCATAAAGAGTCCCTCTTTCTCCATAAAGTCGGCCAGCTGCTGGCCCCTTCGGTTCCGTTGCCCTACTCCAAATTTCCCTACCTTCAGCTCACCGCTTTCTCTTGTGCCCAGTTTTGCGTTGAAGTCTCCCATCAACACCGTGTAGTAGGTTTTGGAGGAATGTATGGCTCTGGAAATATCCTCATACATTTCCTCCACCTCCTCATCGGGATGTGCCGAGGTTGGTGCGTAAACCTGAATGACCTTCAGCGAATACCGTTTGGTGATTCTGAGTATCAGGTACGCGACCCTCGTCGACACACTCCCAATCTTTACAACGTTGTTGACGAGAGATTTGTGGACGATAAATCCGACACCTCCTTGGGACAGATGGTCGCCCTCCCGGTGATAGAACAAGTTGCCGGACTCGAGGATTGCCGTGTCCTCTCCCTCTCTTCGGACCTCGGATAATCCAATAATATGCCAGCGCAACTTGTCTACCTCTTCTTCCAGCTCCAGTATCTTCTCGTCAGTCCTCAGGGTGCGTGCGTTATATGTTGCCAGGTCGAGTCATTTATTCATTGGGGGGTATTTGACATAGTTGCCACGCTTGGCGAGCGGGTTGGCAACCGCAGTTTTTTATTACGTCACAGTTGTCATCAGGAAGACGCTGCTGCCCATCTCCTGCCTGTCTCCCTCTGTCGCCTCTTACGACACCCACGGGAAGATATGGGGTAGTGGATATTCTTAACCGCCACTACACGGCAAATTATAAATAAATGGCTGCACCAAAATCAATTCGGATTAACAAGGGGTCGCTCTACGACTAACGCCTGTGTTAACGGATTAAATATATTATTTTATGGGAGAATTAAGAGAATGCTTGGGGTATATTTTGGTTATCTTTCCAAGACCTTCGACTGTATGTTTGTGAGATGTGACGAAAAGTAATTAAATCACCATGAGACATTAATTAGGAAACTACAATATTATAGTGTGAAATTTCATGTATGAGAACCGAACAGAGAGAGTTATGTTTATATTCATTCGCTATGAATGTTGTAAAGTCCTCTGGATCGCCAGTATCAATGGTTATTCCTCAGAGCTGGATTATCTGTACATATATACATACATATACATATATATATCCTCAAATATATACCACTAATAATAACATAAATAAATAAATACAAAACTACATAATCACATAATTTATCCTAATGATTTTCAAACGATTGAGACAAGTAATGCCGTTTAAGAAGTCGCTTAAAGACTACAATAGTCTGAGCTTCGCGTATATACAAAGGTAGGGCATTCCAGAGCTTAATAGACTGTACAGTAAAAGATTTATTAAAGAAAGATGTATTGTGAGTTGGTACCCTTAAAATGAGTTTTCTTGAAGAGCGTAAAGGTTCCCCTGGAAGCCCAACAAAACTAAACTACTCCTTAAGATAAGGAGGAGTAGAAGGGTGAAATAAGACACAGTACAGAATAGAAAGAATATGCATGTTCCGGCGAAATTGGATAGGTAACCACTTGAGACGTGAGCAAAATTGGGAAATGTGGTCAAATTTGCGCAATCCAAATATGAACCGAATACTAGTATTTTGAAGTCTCTCAAGCTTAGTTAGCTGGTCTTTAGTTATGTCTACATAGCTTGCGTCAGCATAGTCGAGAATCGGAAGGAGAAGAGACTGTGCGAGCATAATTTTTGTAGGAATGGGAAGAAATGATCGAAGGCGACGCAGTGAACTAAGAGCGACAAAGGTTTTCTTACTTACCTCATTCAGTTGGCGTTTCCAATTTAAGGAACTATCAAGGTAAACACCAAGATTTTTGACATTGTCGAAGTAAGGGATCACAACCCCATCGAATACAACAGGTGGTATGGAGAACCAGTCAATTCTTGAGATAAAGCTCTGACTACCAAAAATGACTTTTTAGGATTGACATTTAGGCCATATGATTGACTCCACTCATGAATCATATTTAAGTCATTGTTTAATGTAGCGATTGCATTCGGCAAATTCTCAAGAGTTGACTGGGTGTAAATCTGGACATCATCCGCATACATGTGGTAGAGAGAAGAAATTTTATGAGTAATTGAATTAATGAAAATGGAAAAGAGTAAAGAAGTTGGTCAATATCCATTCCTCCAAAATTACGTCGCAGAACTAATTTAGGTTTGATTTTAGGAGGGCGTAGTTTATACGAAAGGAAAAGTAAATCGTGATAAGAGAATGCATCAGCAGGACACTGTCCATGCTTGAAAACTAGGTTTGAAGATGACACGATAATTAAGTCCAGAAGGGAAGGAGTACAGTTAGGAAATTTGTGAGTAGCAGCAAGGGGTAGGATTTGCATATTACACGCTTCAATTATAGACTCAAGTTTTATAGCCCTATTGTCGCCTTTAAGTAAACAGGTGTTAAAGTCACCCATAAAAATAGTATGACTATATGTAGGGGCTAGTGATTCTAAAAGAGATTCAAAAGAAGTAAAATAGTTTATAGAAAGAGAGGGACTGTAGAAAACTCCAAGTAGGATTTTATTCTGAGACAGGGAGACCACTAGCAAATGCTCAGCAGAATCACCAGGAGGCGGTTGACATGAAGAACTAACAATTTTAAATGGAAAGTAGGATCTTAGGTAGATCGCCACGCCCCCACCACCTCTATTACTGCGGTCATTTCTAATTAGATGAAACTCAGGCAAAGAGTAAGAAGTAGAAGGCAAACAGGGTTTTAGCCAAGATTCTGAAACTAAAATGGCGTGAATATTTCGGGATTCAAATGACGCAAGCATGTCGGGATATAATGAGCCGGAATGCCTCGTTTTCAGTAAAGAGCGTTCCGGTTCTTTACACATAGCATACCAAACCCAGCAGCATTAAACTGCTATTTTAAGCTGATACTCCGTGAGTGCGTAGTCTTTGCCCGTTCGAGCTGACCCAAGTGATATGGCTCTACTACGTATGGATATAATTCAAATTCTTCCTATGCCAGCGTTAAATATGTTTCCAAATTAAATTTAAATCGTCCGTTTCTATTTTCGTTATGCAAAAAAGCCTTACCCAATACAAATATGTTTTCGCATTTAGACACAAACGTTGAGCAGAAGTCTCCGTTCGTTCCCGAGCGCGACTTGCTACGCGCGGTGTCGAGGTCTCGTGCCGCGTCCAACTTCACGATGATCGCCAGCAGCCTGGTAGCGAGGGGATTGCCGATACGGATATGTGAAGATTAGGTATCACATTTTCAGCTAATATTAAATCTAATCTCTTAATTGTTTTTCCAGTTTCGATGCTCTATGTATGGTGACGTTAGAGAACCATATACAGCGTATAAAAGTTCATTGTTGAACATAGGCCACCCCCATAGATTACCTAATATGGGGTAGTGATAATTCTGACGGTTCACGGTTACGTAAGAGAATCAATCACCCTATTTTATATTGTGGATGTTGCTATTGCTAGCGGAAAATATAGATAATTATTAATCATCATTCATCAACGCCGTTGCTGAACTACTAGTAAATATTTTTTTTCCTCTAGGCAGGACTAAACTGTTTGTTGGTTTTTTTTTTCAGGTACCGCAGAAATATATTAATAAAAGAGATCCATTAAGTCTGTGATTGATTTAGATATAAGTTATGTAAAATGTTAATAATATAGATGCTATGGAAATTTTCTTATTTTTTTATTACATTATCTCGTAGTCGCAAACTAACCTAGAATAGACTGTTCCTAATGATTTATGTCATATGCATTATAATAGTTGCAAACATTTGATATTATATTATTGGTGTCTGTTATTAATTTAGTTTTTAACAATTAAACGAAAAATAAACATTGGCCCTAAAATTGAACCTTGCGGCACACCACACAAAATATTTTATCTATCCATTAAAAATGTATTTAGATTTTTTTTAATAAAAGTGTTTCGGATGAAATATATAGCTAAGATCACTTCGGCATTGCTCCCTATCGGTTCGTGAAGTTTCAACACAATCGTTTCAGATTACAGACATACACAGAAACAGACAGGTAGAAAGGCAGACAAAATTTTACAAATTATATCTATATCAATTTATGCATGCTAAATTAATGGCGTGCATATAACAAACTGAGCTCGATAAAATGCAGAGTACCACAGTGGCGAAGTGGCGCTCGAGCCGTTCGTACGTGTATCGTTGCGCTCACGGTTATTATCGGGTTAGGAATTTTTTACCTGCGTTTACGGCTTGGCCAAGCGGGACCGGCCGTTCAGTTGAACAATAATGGAGGCTGATCTTCTTTCTACCGAGTCAGCGGGGGAAGAACCAATACTAGAGGAAATGTCTGATCTTTTGGGAAGAGCATATAAACTACGAACCTAGCCAAATATTGGGCAAAAGTGGTAGGAATACTTCGCCTTCGGACTTTCAAATCGAACAAAAAAGCTAGAGGATGTGAGCAAGAAGGAGACTGGGAAGAAGTGAAAAGCAGAAAAGAGAAATCTAAAGAAATAAGAGCTAGTATTGAAATATGTATAACGTCTAAAGATAAGTTCCCGAAACAGTTTGCCCTTGCCAAGTTATTTAAAAATCAGAACCTAAACATTGTGCGAGTAAAATATATCAATTCATACAAAATAATTGTGGAACTATACGGAGAAAAAGATGCTGATTTATTAATACAGTGTGATCATCTCTTGGAATTGGGCTTGTTACCATCGTATCTGTGCATATATGACATGCAAGTTAAGGTGGAGCCATACCTATTTCCTGTTACTCAGTGTTCGAGATGCTGGCGCTTTGGGCACACCTTTAGAATGTGTCCTACAAAACGTATATACTGCCCCAAATGTGGAGTTAAGCATGAAAAATGCGAAATAACAATATTTAAGTGTATTAATTGTACGAATAATCACATGGCATTGAATCGTCAGTGTCCAAAATATATAAAGGAGAAGAAGTTACGGGAAATAATGGCTGAATTTAATGTTTCATACAGGAAGGCTATGGCAATGTATGTACCGCCCGAAACACCTACTTATGTGCCAACTCAATCGCCAATGCCCCGTTTAGGTAATTTAAATAAGATGCCTCAATTGCCGGAACCTATCCCAGGAGCCACAAATAAGTTTTTTAGCTCTATTTCGCCGGTTCAAGAGAATTCTACACCAGTTACGCATAGGCCGTGTCATCGAGCCCCATTAACAAGAACAAACTGGACAGTCGGGGAGAAAAATCTGTTCGAAATGACACAACTAAGAAGATTAAGAAGAGAAGAATTCAAGAACCTAATTTAGAAGAGTATATACATGACGGCAATATGTCGACAGAGTCTGAAAGTAGTTTATGTGATCAACCAGTGTCTGAACAAACCAAAAAAAAAAATCGTAATGTACAATCTGATATTCCTTTCTTTAATTTATTAAGCCAACTTAAAAGTTTTATCTCTAATGAGAGTAATGAGCCTTTAAAAAGTAGAATCGATAATGTAGTGCACTTATTTTTTGAATGGATAATCACATGGATATTTAAAAATATCTCGAACTTGTCTTTTTTTACAAAATTTACTCGGTAATAATAGGTAAAGTCAGCCTTAACGTTTTGCAATGGAATGCTCAAGTGAGCGGAATTTGAACAACTCTTGTGTCAGGAGAAAATTCATATCACCGCGCTCTCGGAAACATGGTTGAATCCTGATATAACACTTAACTTTAGAGAATATAATGTATTTAGACTTGATAGGGCGGACTCTTATGGCGGAGTGGCTTTAATAGTACACAAATCTCTCTCGACTCAGTTGCTTCCACTGCGAAGTGCCAACGCGGTTATTGAGGTGATATCCGTTAAAATTTCTAATTGTGAAGTTGTTGAAAATATAATTTCTTTATATTGCTCGCCTAGTGCTCGAACTTCATGTAGGGATTGGGATTCAATATTTTCGTTTTCTGATAAAAAGACTCTAATACTTGGAGATTTTAATGGCCATCACCCTAATTGGTCGAATAAAACCGATTCTAGGGGCACGCAAATTCTGGACTCATTAGACCATAATTTTGTTTCTATAAACGATGGAAATGGAAACGATTCAACAGTCAGCTCCCGACATTATATTTATATCATCTGATATCGCTTTTAAGTTTAATTGGAATGTTACAAACGAGTGTTTAGGTAGTGACCACCTAATAATTAAGATTTCATCATCTATGAATCATTCTCCTACTGTTCATAAAAGACGGAACTTTAAAAAAGCTGACTGGGTGAAGTATCCTCAGGTAATAGAAGAGGAGTGCGCTCATTTCGAAATTTCAAGTAACCCACAAGAAGCCTATAATGATTTTATCACTTTGTTGTTCAAAGCCGCAGAAGCAAGTATTCCATTTGTTAAAATATGCCTAAATCCCAAGGCTAATTTTATTCCTAAGCCATATTGGACTCCTGATCTATCTCACGCTGTTGCAGAGAGACTAGCACTTAAAACATTTAGACAGAATCCCACACCGGCTAATTTAAATAGATTGCAGGAAAAAACTCGCAAGTCACAAAAACTAATTAGAAACGCTAAAAGTAAAGGATAGTGGGAATTTTGTTCGTCCTTGAATGAAATATCTTCAGCTTCTGAAATGTGGAGAAAAATGCAGTGGTTAAAAGGTTATAGATCAGCTAAACGACAAATTGAAAAAAGTATTGCTGAGTCATTATTGTGCAGCTTAACCCCTGACTATGTAAGTCAACCCTACCTAACCCCTACCGAAATATCTAGATTGGAGCTTTATAATGTTTAAAATCTAAAGACACGTGCCCTGGCGCAGATGATATTTCTTATTAAATGTTACTTAATTTACCTATAGTGGTGTGGCCGTGGAAGGAAAAGGGGAGATCCCCGCCGGGCAAGGTGTTCTGCCCAGGGAGCGGCCAACACTCCGTGTGACAGTTCGGAGATGTTCTATATATGCTGTTCATGATTCGGAATGTTGATAGCGTGATTTAGGCTTCGGTATTTTTCGCTTGCGGCGCGACGACAGCGCCGCCACATCACCCCCCTGCTCAGACCGGAGGTCGATAGTGCAGCCTCGTTGCCGACGAATGTGCAAGTGCCAGGAGATTGCCTTGTAGTCTGCGGTGAGTCGAGAAGAAGGCAAGTAATCTGCGAGAGTGCCGTGAAGCAGAGGCGAGCAGTAAGACTCAGAGCCGTGCCGAACACTGTAGCGTAGAGAGTAGCTTGAAGGAACAGGAAGCATTATTATTCCAGTGCTGCGATGAACCTTGTGAAGCTAGATGGCTTGCAGGATATGAAGACTGCAGACGATATCTGCTCGGGAGCGAATGGGTGGGGGGTTTCTATGACGATGATGAAGCTTGAAGTTTCCGAAGGTTGTTGGTTGCGTGTTCAGATCACGTCGGGTGGTCACCACTGTGGCCGTGGAAGGAAAAGGGGAGATCTCCCGCCGGGCAAGGTGTTATGCCCGGGGAGCGGCCAACGCTCCGGTGTGTTTTGCTTGCGGCGCGATGACAGCGCCGCCAAAACGTTTTACTCAATCTTTATAATATATTTTTTACACAAAGCTTTGCTCCTTATCAATGGCGACATGTTCGCATTATACCTATACCTAAGTCGGGTAGGAACACTAGTTGTACTTCATCTCTTAGACCTATTTCTCTTATTTCGTGCTTATGTAAAGTATGTCATGCCATTATCAATATCCGTATAGAGTGGGGTATATTGAAAACAAAAAACTACTTTCTGAGGAAACTAAAGGATTCAGAAAATCACGTTCCTGTCACGATAATTTAACCGATTTAGTTACAAGCATTCAAATAGGATTTACCAAAAACTTTTTTATAGTAGGATGCTTTTCAGACCTAGAAAATGCATATAATAATGCATATAAAATTATCTTTTATCGACCCTCGATCGTCTTAATGTTGGCGCAAAATTTTGCAACTATCTCTGAACTTGGCTGAACTGGCTTATAGCCAAAGATTTTTTAATAATTGAAGGGATAGATTATAAAATAACTAGAAGTACAGGTCGCGGTCTAGCACAAGGAGATCCTCTTTCTCCGCTATTGTTTAACATAGCTACAATAGATATATGTAAGTCTATAATTTCCAAAACACATCTTACATAATATCTCCCAGTGTGCTGATGATTACGTCATATTTATAACTTCTAATGCCGGCTGTACACGCTCGTCGAGATACCACGAGACAGGCCTAGAGGCGAGCGTTATTTAACATTGTTCTTAATTTTA